CCACGGTCGACTACGTGGGAGTCCAGCGACATAGCCATTACGCTAACTGCTGGTTCCCTTTTTTTCTTTCTTTTTTGCTATAGAGTGCGTGCACTCGCCAGAAAGACACAGAGATAGAAAGCGAGAAATCACCCCCTGGGGGGATGGCCACGCTGCAATCCCTTCTCCCCCATTTTTCTCTTGGGATCTTGGGCATGCATGCACACACGCCCTGCGTGAGTTTAAGCCACCGGGTTCAGGACTTGAACCACGGTCGACTACATAGGAGTCCAATGACATATCCATTACGCTAACTGCTGGTCCCGAGGTCCCTAAATTTTTTTAATATTTAAAAATTAACCTTTTTTGTGCCAACCTGTGGCCTAGTGGTTAAGGGAAAAGGATTCCACATGGCCGACTATGTCGTTCAAATCTTGGACCCTGTGACTTGAAAAATACACTCTGTGTGTGTGTGTGTGTGTGTGTGTGTGTGTGTGTGTACGTACAAGCTGAAAAAATCAAGATGGGGGAATGGAGAAGGGATTGCGATGTGACCATACCCTACTGGAAGGAGCTCTCTCCTGCTGCCCCCCACCTCATCTCTCTGGCAAGTACACATGCTATTTTAAAAAGATAACTTCTTTAAGGGGTAAATAATCTATTTGTTGATCTGGATACCAATAACATGGGTGTAGTTGGGGCCAGCAGGTGGTGTGGTAGTTAAGATGCTGGACTCCCACATGGGCAACGACGGTTTGAGTCCCAGACCAAACGGCTTGCTTTCTCACTTTTCTCCCATCTCTGTCTCTCTCTGGTGAGCGCATATGGCCATAGCAAATGAAATATTAATAAATAACTTCTTTAAAAAAATTGGTCTGTTAGGTTGTGAAAACATATCAAATTCTTCATTTACATATACTTTTATGCATGTTACACATCAGTGAAGTGATTTTTGTTTTATTTTTTAGAGAGATTTTTGCTATGAGGAGCATGCATTCACAAAGACAGAAAGCAAGAAATCACCTCCCAATAGGAATGGCCACATAGCAATCCCTTCTCCTCCATTCCAGGATTTTGGACACACATACACAAGCACTCGGCCTGAGTTTCAAGCTTCTAAGTCTAGGACTCGAACTGCTGTCAACCATGCAGGAGGTCCAGTGCCTTCATCACTACACTACCTGCTGGCCCCTGAAGTTATTGCATTTAATTGGCAAAAAAAAAAAAAAAAAAAAACTATCCTAAAACATTTTATCATAAAATTTAGTGAGGGTAATGAGATTAAAAAAGAAACTGGTTGAGAAGAAGCCAGGCCTTTAGAAGAAGGTTCCACATGGCTCCAGCGAACTAGATTTTTCAGGGAATGAAGGTTTTCTACTGATAATTCAGCCTCCAACAAACAAGCTAGCGGGTTAAAATATTTCCCAATATCTACTGAATCTGCTGCACCAGCGATCACAACAGAATGGCAAAGAGATTCTAGATCACCTCTGTCTGCTTGCTCCTGAACATTCAGGCTGGACTTCAAGAATTTGAAAGAAACACACCATCCATCAGATGACAAGAAATCACCACTGGATCACGAGAAATATGGGAAAACGAGAAAATACCTCTCCTCCAAGGGAAAAGAGTTAACTCTTCTTACCATCCACAAGCAGTTCAGTGAAAATCATGGAAATGTCTGATAAGGAATTTAGAGCATTCATAATGTCAAAGCTAACAGAGATGGAAGAGAAGAGAGATAATGAACTGCTAAAGAGAAAGGAGAAAGAAGTTGATGAGGTCCAGGAGATGAGGAAATTCTTGCAAGATCTAAAAGAGGAATTACACACTTTACAAG